GGAAATGAAGGAAACCTTGAAAAAGAGATTTGAAATTAAGATGCTCAACTAGTATTTGATAAAATGCTCAAATGAGATGAAACCATGAATAGCTTCCTAATTTGTGATTCAATTTTGTTATGTCTCAAGTAGATTGGGATTGCTAGAATTTCCGGAACGTCGTAGTAACTTAAGGAAAGATTAAACTAGGTATGTATGGCTAAAATCCTGTCTTTTTAGAAATTAAGCTCCGTTGGTGCTTGTGTAAATGCGGTAAGATTAAAGTTTGGGTTCTTGTATTGATTGTTATTCCACATGAATTGATGTTGCAACCTTATATGCGTGAAAGATACGTCTCAATATGATCAATATGCTATTTTTGGTAACTTGAAAAGGTGCAAGGAATGTGAATCATGTATTGAAATGCTTAGACAATAAATTGAGATTGAAGAATGTGAAGTATATGCTAAATTGCCTAGATTTCAAGTCAAGTTTAAATTGTGATTATTGTGCCGAATCATGAGAATTCCTCTCTATGCTTATAACTTGAATTTCTCTTGTGTATGCCCATTATCTTAAATTGTAAGTTTGTTGTTGAAAGTGAATGTATTGTGGAATATGAGTTGTGAAATATGGCCTAGTGCCAAGTATGATGTGATAATTGTGGCCCTAAGTGCCTATGAATTGATATATGTGAAGTAAAAATTGAAATGAAATTGTGATTGAGGTAACGTCTTGTAAGACGGCTTAGCCGATCGGGTCATGATCGGACGCCATGTTATACACCCGTGGTGGTAATGTATTGATAATTGAAAGTGGAAAGTGAGAGTGAAATGATGGTAACGTCTCGGGGAGACGGCTTAGCCGATCGGGCTGTGATCGGACTCCGCTCAAGAAAGCGGTGGTAATGTGGATAATGATGCAACAATATGGAATGCCCCAAACTAAAGTTATGGAAATTGTGTGAAAGTTATGTGATCCCTTATTTGTATTTGATGATGTAGTGATTGTTTAAAGCTTTGGTTGAATACTTATGATTTCTTTGTTCTTGTATGATAGTTCTTTCTATTGAGATGGTGTTTAGTTATACATACTAGTGCTATTCGATGGCACTAACATCCCTTTTGCCGGGGGCGCTACGTCTTTAAATGGATGTAGGTGTTTCTATTGCAGGCAGTGTTGGTCGCAGCTAGTTCTGCATCATCTTTTCAGCTGACTTGGTGAGCCCCACTTCATTTCGGGGTCCTATTTCATCTCTTTATCATGTACTTTGTATTTGAGGTATAGCCGGAGCCTTGTTACCGGTATTTTCATATTACATTACACTTCAGTTATGTTTAGAGGCTCCGTAGACAGGTTGTGGATAGTGTCAGGTATTGGGGTAAAATAGAAATAATGATGTTTGGAAAAGATGTATAAAACTAGTATATCTTCAAAATTATGAACGAAGTTGCTAATGGAAGTGAAATGGAAATCGTTAAAGACTTGTTTATAGAATTTGATTAATGATGTATATTTCCTCTTTATTCAAAGATTGGGTAGTGTGTATGAAACCTGTCAGGCTTGCTCAGTCGGATTTACTCGGTTGAGCGCCGGTCGTGCTCCTCGGATTTTGGGGCGTGACAGTGATGACCCGATAGGTCATCTTATGATTTAAAATAAAATTCTGTGTTACGAGGGCTTTAAAACCTCATATTATCCCTCCTCGATTTGTGTGCACAGTTCGGGCGTGATTCCGGAAATCTTTTGTGTTGAAAGTTGATAAAAAAGGAATTTTCTATTAAAAATATCATTTGAGTTGACTTCGGTCTATATTTTTGTTAAATGGACCCGGATTCGTATAAAAATATGGGACCTGGGCGTATGCCCGAAATCAGATCCGGAGGTCCTTAGCCCGAGTTATGAATTGTTAAAAATTGAAATCTAAAAAATTATTGGTTTTTAAGAAAAGTACTGATGTTTGATCTTGTTGGTATCGGGTCCGTATTTTTGTTCCGGAGCACGGTACAGGTTCAATATAATATTTCGGATATTTCTGCAAATTTGATGTAAAAACGGAATTGGTTTGAGGTGATTTGGACGTCCGGTTGAGAAAATGGAAATTTCAAAAGAGTTCTTGAGAATTTCATTTGATTTGGTGCTAAATTCGTAGTTCTATGTGTTACTTTAGCGTTTTGATCGCGCGAGCAAGTTCGTATGATGTTTTTAGACTTGTGTGCATGTTTGATTTGGAGCCCCGAGGGGTCGGGTGAATTTCAGATAGGCAACAGAGTGAAATTGGACTTATGCATTGCTGATATCTTCAATTTCTGGGAATTGGCCTCTGATCTCGCATTTGCGAGATCAGAGTTCGCATTTGCAAGCATGACAGCTTCGTATTTGCGAAGTTGGTCTAGGGAACAGGTTCTTCGCATAGGGGGTCACAATTACGATGCCAGTTCCGCATTTGCGAACAATATGATTGCAATTGCGACAGAAGCAGAAATGTGACAGGTTCGCGTTTTCGATACCTTTCTCGCATTCGTGAGCTTTGCGAAGCTCAGGTCGCAAATGAGACATCTGCAATTGTGTAAAAGTAAAGTTAGACGATATTTTTGATTCATTCTTCAAATTTTAAAGACCTAAACCACAAGAGGCGATTTTCCAAAGACTTTTTCTTCCCCAAATCATAGGTAAGTGATTCTAAACAAGTTTCTTTCAATCCTTCACTTCATTTTACAAGATTTCAACCTAGAATTGAGGGTTTTCATGGTGGAATTGGGGAATTTTGGGTAGAAACTAGGGATTTGATAAATTGGAGATTTAGACCTCAAATTGAGGTCGGATTCCAAAACCAATTACATATCCGAGCTCGGGGGTGAATGGGTAATCAAGTTTTGGTCCGAATTTCGTGTTTGGACCAAGCGAGCCCGAGTGTTGACTTATTCAATAATGGCCTAAATTGAATTTTTATCGATTGTGGGTGATTCCTAAGGTTTATTTTAAAATATTTTGGTTGGTGATTTGCTAGATATTGTTGGTTCGGAGACGTGTTTGAAGGACAAAGTTGTGATTGAGCTTTGGGTGGCCTTTGGAGCGAGGTAAGTGTTGTGTCTAACCTTGACTTCAGGAAATTAGGAACCTTCGGACTTTGTGTTATGTGAATTTAATGGGAGCGGAGTATATGCAAGGTGACAAGTGCTTATACGCCACCGAAATATCTGTTTTTCCCTTATTTACTGCTTTACCTTAACTGTTTCCTTCCCTGTCATAATTGCTATATGCTCTAGATGTTTTCCATGCTTAACTATTACGTGTTAATCAATATCTTCTTCTTTTAACCATGTTAGCTCACTTCATAGTTCCCCCAATCCCCGCAATTTCCTTAATTTGACTTGTTTGTACCTTTTAACTGTAAATTGCTTGTTCGATCTCGCTGTGTAGTATTATTTAGGTAGATTCTATATTAAACAAGGTTCCTTTTCTTGGTTCAGTTTGGTATTTAGTTATCGTAAATGCCTTATGATTTAGCATGTTGATTTGATTGTGTACATTGAGTGTTTGGTACTATATGGTGGGATCGGGTTGCACGCCGCAACATGTGTAATAAGAGAGGATTGATATGGTGGAATAAGGGTGAATATGTATATATGGTGGGATCGGATTACACGCTCGCAACAAGTGAAATAAGGGTGGATTTGATATGGTAAAATAACGGTGAATTACGATATTGATATTGATATATGGTGGGATCGGATTGCATGCCGCAACATACATACATACATACATACATATATATATATATATATATATATATATATATATATATATATATATATATATATATATGGAGGACTATGTGATATCTGGTGGGACCGGGTTGCGCGCCGTAACAACCTATATGTTTCATTTTCTTGAGTTGCGTCGTTTTCCGGTACTTTTATTTGAGCAGGTAGAGATTGGTAATTTTGGACGACACTGGTTTGCCATTATTACAGACTGCATACAGGCTTCAACGTAAGTGACCCGCCTTAGCCTCGTCACTACTTCGTCGAGGTTAGGCTCGGCACTTACCAGTACATGGGGTCGGTTGTACTAAACTGCATTCTGCACATTGTGCAGATTTTGGAGACGGTCCCAGCGGCGGTTATTAGCGAGCTCGGATCAGAAATTAGCGGAGACTTGAGGTACGGCTGTTCAGCGCCCCCTGCTCCTAGAGTCCCCTTCCTCTGTCTATTTAGCTGTGTACTTTCATTCGAACAGCTTATTACTCATTTCAGCCCCTTATGTGTATTACTCTAGTAGTTCGTGCACTCGTGACACCAGGATTCAGGGAAATTGTAATAGATATTTGGCCAGTTCCACTTCCACATTGTTACTTTAAATTTATTTAGTTATCTCTGTCCTTCTTTAATATCTGATTTAAGCTGTTGAAAGGAGTAGATTAATTGTTCTAACGTTGGCTTGCCTAGCAAGTGAAATGTTAGGCGTCATCACGGTCTCGATGGTGGAATTCCGGATCGTGACATATATCCCGTAGAATTAGTTGAGGCGTGCATAAGTTGGGACGAACATCACGGTTATAAAAAAAAAAAGATGTACTAATTTGATATAGAGATCAAGTGCGAGTAATTGTTTTCCGTGATATCCCAATATTTCAATGTCTTCAACTTAGTATTAATGCAATTACCAATACATAGCAGGCATCACTTTCAAGCATTATTGCGTTGGAGACATATCCTTACTCCTCATATAATTCCGCTTTTGAAAACAACCCAAATTTATTAGACTTTGACTGGTGACTAGAAAGGTACAACTTAACACATTCATGCACTACTTACTCACGAAACCATAATACTAATGTTAACACCCACGGCCGGCCCCCCTGATCAGTTCGTAATTCCTAAACCTATATATATATATATATATACATATATATATATATATATATATGTATATATATATATATATATATATATATATGTATATATATATATATATATACTTACTGTATACATCATCTTCTTATTCTCATTGCCACTACTCCAAGTGCATGTACACCACAATCACAAAAAGTACTTTAATATATTCCCCTTTTGTTAAAAAAAGAAAAGAAAAAGATGCAGGGAATATCATTAGAGTTTGATCAGCAAAATTTTCTTGACCCCATGCAACATGATCTCTTCAATGATCCTGACTTTTCCCAAATCTTTTCAGAACTAAACTCATTCAATAACACCATCCAAACACCTAGAAACCCAAGTTCAGAGAACACCATATTTGCACAAAACATGGTTCAACACAATCAAGAAAAATATGCAGATGATCATATCGTCCCATTGCAAGAGACTTCGTCAGAAAATAATAAGGAGCTATCTTCAGATCAGGTGCCTTTGGAAAAGAAAAAATACAAAGGAGTGAGGAGGAAGCCATGGGGAAAATATGCTGCAGAAATAAGGGATCCTGAAAGAAAAGGCGCTAGACTTTGGCTTGGGACATATGAAACTCCTGAGGATGCAGCATTGGCTTATGACAGAACTGCATTTAAACTGCGTGGTTCAAGAGCTGTACTCAATTTCCCTCACTTGATTGAATCTAATGTTACTGAAATTAACATAGTGAGGCCAAGGAGACGTTCACGTTCACCGGATATTGAGCTTTCATCTGATCAGAATGATGGTCCGATTTCAAAGAGGAGAAATGTTGACCTAATTAACAGCNATTAACAGTCTTAGACTACGACGACCAACGTTGGATACGACCTAAAGTATCGTAGAAGAGATTGTTTAGCGTCTAGTGTTTTGACCTGAAGAAAAATCTTATACTTACACTACAACATTATGCATCTACAACTACGAATTCTTTGCTACAAATAAAAAAATCGTGGCTAGTACCTAGCAATAGCCATAAAACTTGAAATTTCGTGGATGTTCACAATTTGGTGAAATTTCTTAGCTACAAAAAGTAAATTGGCAAAGCTAATTCCTCCGTTTTGCTATAGTTGGTTAGTATCGTGACAATAACTGCGAAAATACCTACACATTTACGGCTACATCATAAATTTGTAGCTAATTGTTCGTTTTTGCCACGCATTTAAATTATTGTAGCAATAAAAAAATTTTAGCCACAATAAATAATATCAAATAAAATATCGAATATTTTGCTTCAAGTTGTAAAAACCGTGGCAATAATTGACTCAATAGCTACGACGAATATCATGGCAAACTAATATAGCCACGAATTTATATTGCTACAATATTAATTGTAGCTAATTCTAAGTTTTGCTATGCGGTTGAAGTCATTGTAGCAATTGTAATCTTGTAGCCACGATACATTTGTTTGCACATAATTCTATAGCTAAAGATGTAGTCTTGGTTCAATTTTCAAAAATCGTAGCAACTGTTAGGACATATATGCTCAGGATTTTAGGCACTAAGGGCACATTCATCCATGAAGCCACTTTGTCAGCTTGAATTTTTTAACGACCCGACTGGTCGTTTTGAGTATCTGCACTTCGCTCGGTATTTTGAGGGCTCGAGTATCTTTGACTTGCATAAATAGTCGGTATTGGTTTTCAAGTTATCCGGAATCGATTTGGAAATATGAACTTCAAGATTTAAGTTCTAAGTAGGACGAATTGACCAAGTTTGACTTTTTAGAATTTGACCTCGGAATGGAGTTTCGTCAGTTCCGTTAACTCAGTTGGATGATTATGGACTTAGGAGAGCGTCTGGATTGTAATTTAGAGGTCCGTAGTCGAATTAGTCTTAAATGGCGAAAGTTGGACTTTTGAGAAGTTTGACCGGGAGTGGACTTTTTGATATCGGGGTTGGATTCCGATTCCGGAAGTTGTTATAGGTCCGTAATGGCAAATGTGACTTGTGTGCAAAATCTTAGGTGAATTGGAGGTGATTTGATAGGTTTCTAGCATCGGTTGTAGAAGTTGAAGTTTCAAAGTTCATTGATTTTGACTTATGGTGTGTTTTGTCATTTCAAGGTTGTTATGTGTGATTTGAAGCTTTGAGTAAGTTTCTTTTGTCATATAGAACTTGTCTGCAAAATTTAGCGCCATTCGGAGTTGATTTGATATGGTTCGGATGCTTGGTTGCGATTCTAGAAGTTCTTGAAGTTTAAGTTAATCTTCATGCATCTGATTCGTGGTTTTAGAGGTTATTTTGATGTTGTGATCGCGCGAGCGAGTTCATATGATTTTTTTAGACTTGTGTGCATATTTGGTTTAGAGTCTCGAGGGCTAGGGTGAGTTTCGGATTGGTTTCGGAATGAATTTTCATAATTCTTGAGTGTTGGTTCTGGTTTTGTCGCATTTGCGATGTTTTGGTTTCAGATGCGGCCATCGCATCTGCGAAGGCAGCCTCGCAATTGCAAAGCTGGGCTGCAGGAGAAGGATTCACATTTGCGAAGAATTTTCCGCTTTTGCGAAGCACCAATGCTCGCATTTGCGACCAGTTTGATCGCATTTGCGAAGGCAGCAGAGATTCCAAATCTTCGGATTTGCGAAAGTTGTTCGCATTTGCAAACCCCATATCGCAAATGCAACATCAGCAGCCAGTTAAGTGTTGAGAATTCCGTGACTCAGTTTTATTTTCATATATTTTGAACCCTAGCTTCGATGAGAGGCGATTTGGTGAAGGAATTTTCATACCAAATCATTGGGTAAGTGACTCTAATCAATTTTCAACTATATATCATGATTTTATATAAGATTTAACATCAAATTCATGGGAAATCTAAGGGAAAATTTGGGGATTTTGTCAATGCTTTGAAAAATGAAAATTTGGTATTTGAGAGTTGAATAGAACTCGGATTTGAAAACAAAACATATATTTGGACTCGTGAGGCCATGGGTAGTCAAGACCTACCCTTGGACCCGGGTTTTGACCGGGCGGACCCGGTGTTTGAATTTCGTTGACGTTTCAGAAATTGAATAAAAATCATAGCTTTATTAATCGAAATTGTATTCTCTTGCATTGTGTGATGTATTCAAGTCGTCGTTGGCTAGATTGAGTCGAGCGTAGGCGAATTTGTAGAAGAAAAGACTAAATTGAGTGCTGAGTTAGCCGAATTGAGGTAAGTGTTTTTCCTAACTTTGTTGAGGGAATTATTCCTCCTATTTGTCATTATTTGCTACATGCGGGGGTGATACATATATGAGGTGACGAGCGTATATGTATGTGCCATGGGTAATCAAGCTCGGGGGGTGGATTATGTTACACTTGTGTTTGTAGAATTTCGTGACCTTCCTGCTTCATGCCTTACTTGACTCTTAGATACTAAGAACATAGTATTAAATGTTAGAAATCAAGACTTAGCTTATTATAACTTGATCATATTTGACGGAAATTCTGAGTATACATTGACGTGTCTAATTTGGTCATCTCTATGCTAAATCATTACTACATTACTACGGCCGATATTCTTGAGATACTAGACTCTATACTTGTGTTGTGGATCATTTGTGAGATTTGTGGAAGTATTTGAATAATACGTTTCTTGAGGATTGTTGAATCATTGTTGATTTGGAAAGTTGTGATTGGGATTTGTTTGGAATATCCGTTAAAACACTCTCCTTGATGTTATTTATGCTTCTTGCCTATTTGTCATTGAAATTCATATGCTTGGTAAGGAAGAGTGTAAAGCACGAAGGGTGATGTCGTGCCACTGTTTATACATTATCATGTGAGGGAGAGTGTAAAGCATGAAGGGTGATGTCGTGCCAGGTTATTGAGAGTAAAAAAATAAAGGGTGATTCAGTGCCACATTATTGAGGGTGAAAGCACGAAGCGTTATGCCGTGCCACATTATTGAGAGTAAAAGAATGAAAGGTGATGCCGTGCCATTTCATTTATATTATTATGCTTGTATTTTTTCGTGAGGTCATGGCACGACGGGTGCTTCTGTGCAGGCGAGGATAAGGGCTACGCATTATGTTTTATATTAGTCTTCCGTGTATACGTTCATGTCTTTACCTTGAAATGTAATTGTTATAATTGTAGATCTGATGTGACATGTAATTGTTTTCCAATTGTTTTTATGATTCACGTGCATTTCGCCTAGTCTTTTACTGTTGCCCACATGTATATCCTCGTCCATTATTGCTACTTGCGTATTTCCTACTTTGTAATTCCTATTATAGGTATTTTTGTCATCTGATCGGTTCTGTTATACATACATTTGGAAGGATGAGTTGAACGCACAAAGGGTGTTGCCGTGCTAATTGATTTGACATATAAATTATTTAAATATGGCGAGGGAGAGATAGAAGCACGAAGGGTTTTACTGTGCCATTTGACTTGAAATCTTGGATAAACTCCTCATACTAGGAAAGATTGAAATTCTTATACTGTGATTCCTTCTAGTAATTGTTGACTGTCTCGCAGAGTGGTATACGATACTCTTATCTATTATGTTTTGAACTGCCTATACTGTTAGTCTGATGTACATGTTGTAACAATAAGCATATTTTAACTAAAAGACTCGTCACTACTTAGACGAGGTTAGGAAAAATATTTACCAGTATATGAGGTTGGTTGTACTGATACTACACTTCTGTACGTTGTGGACAGACTTTTGGAGCAAAGCCGCTAGTGATGTCGGGTGCTGACTCTGATGATGTTCCTGCATTCTGGATATAGCTGCCAGTTGTTCTTGGTAGCTTAGGTTTTGCTAATCTGTTTATGTTATTTTCAAACAGAACGTGTAATTATTTGTATTAGTTTTTTTGCAAATTCTTAGTCTTAAAAGCTCATGAGTCGTACTACCAGTTCTTGGGTAAATTTGTAAATGTTTAGATAAATCTTTACTATTTTCCTATAATCTCTTTTGGACTGTATTTTCTGTTAGTTGGCTTACCTAGCGGATCGAGTTAGGTGCCATCACGACCAGTGATTTTTTTTTTGTCGTGACAAGGTGGTATTAGAGCACTAGGTTAGTAGGTTCTACGAGTCATGAGCAAGTGTGTAGTAGAGTCCTGCGCATCGATATAATGACGTCCATACCTATCTTCGGGAGGCTACAGGGCATTAAGGAAAAATTTCCCTTTCTTCTTTCCTTATCGTGCGGCCTTGTTTCAGCTTGAAATCTACAACTTTGACTCCTCCCAATCGCTCATGTGTGAGGTTGTGCACTCAGTATTCATTATGTACTGACGATCGGTGATGCTGCAGATAGATTATGACGGGCTATGGATGCTTGATTATCGTCGCGATGTGTTGTCTAGCCTCAGAAGTAGATGCGGTGTTAAATCTTCCAGTCGTTCATTCGTGGTATGGGTTCATAAGTGGTTGGTAAGCACATATTTGGGAAGATTGGCCGGTGGCCTAGCTATTGTGATTAAGGTGGGTTCATGGCAAGGTTTCGATTTGAGTATAACCGGTGGGCCATCTCCTACATGATGAGTTTATATCGTGTTTCTCATATGAGGTTTCTATTCGGTGGAGTGCAAGTGTTATTATTTCAGAGCATTTGGGGGAAGTTGTTTGACTATTGGAATGATGGGTACGCTCTTGGCAGAGTCTTCGGGGTGTTCTATGAGCAGTATTGCATGAATATTTGAAGTATTCAGCTAAATAGCCACACGGAATCGGGGAATTCTGTGAAGATATGGTACTTTGAGGTGCTGATGAGGTGTTCTATGGATTCAAGCTAAGCGGTGGAGTCTACTAATGACAGTCGGATTGTAGGATTGATCGGTTCCAAGCCTGTACCA